ATTTTTATGTATAAAATAAAATTTTAAAATTATATATATAATGTCGGGTTGGTTTGGTCTCGGGTTGGTTTTTTTAAGTTAAAACCAAACCAACCCAAATATAGTCGGGTTTTTTTTTCAAAACCAAACCAAGTCAAACCAAACCACTAGTCGGGTTTTTTTCTCGGGTTGACTCGGTTTGCGGTTTGGTTCGGTTTTCGGTTTGGTTTTGTACACCCCTAGGTGTATAACTAATACCTTCCATTTGGTGATATTAGTAATACATGGATCTAATATCATGGGATTAATATATGTAAAGACAAAAATACCCCCTCAAATCCTTTCATTTTATTTATTTTCTTGATTTTATGTTTTATATTTGTACTAATAAATTTATTTAAATCAATTACCTTACAAACTTTATTATTTAAATAGAGTTATTTGTAGCTAAAATATGAGTTATTTAATCTAATTATTATTAATATAAAATATTATAATCGGACTAATATGCTAATGTTGATGGATGAATTTAAGAGCTATTTTTTCTATTTAAAAACATCTTGAGTATAAAAATAGTTTAACTTATTTTGCTATTTTTTTAATTTTATGATAAAGAGCGATTTTGTATGATAAAATTCGTAACTCGAATGATTTTATTGATGTAAAACAATGTTCAATAACTTTTTTCTATAAATTCTTATAGTTGTGTGATCTTTTGAGTTATTAACTTCATTTTATTAAGATGACAATTATTTACCCTGCAAATAATTTAAGTGGTGATAAAATTTTCCTTCTCCTAGCTAGTTAAAAGGCTATAAACAATAATATTATTTGTCAATTATCTACCTTGACCCAATTACATGAAATAGAAAATCTCATAATAACTCAAAGGTATAATTGAAAAGAAGTTTTTTTTTGTAGAGTTTTAAACCCCATACAAAATTAGGTAGGAAGCAACGAACCAAACACTTGATAAAAATAATTCGTGCATTACTAATCCAAGCATTACCAATCCTTGCATTACTAATCCATGCATTACTAATCCATGCAGTATTGATCTTTGTACCAAATGACCCCTCAATGTTCAGGAGTGTATTAACTAGGAAACATTATAGCTCAGGGAAATAGAAACATATTATGTGTTTTCAACTCACCCGTCACGAATATCATATCCTTTTAGATTTGCGGCAGCTGTTAGAGAAGTTCTCCATCCTTGCACCTTCTGCATCCCATCAACATCATCCTTATACGTCGATTCATGTTTGGCAAATGCTTCTGCAAAGCTCTCACTCTGATTTCGAACATGTGATGGATCCACATCATAGAAGATCGGTATGATTGTTTGTCCTTCCTCCTTGCATTTCATGATCTTCACTAGTTCATTCAAGCACCACCTCGATGTAGCATAATTCTTTGAGAAAATGATGAGTGCAACTTGAGACTCTTCTATAGCTTTCAAGAGTTCTTCTGGGATGGAATCGCCTTGCTCTAGCCTTTTATCATCTTGAAAGGTGAATATTCCCCTGTTTTTCAAACCTTCGTACAAGTGACCCGTAAATGTTCTCCGTGTGTCGGTACCTCTAAAACTTAGAAAGACATCGAACTTCCATCGAGTACAGTATTGTGAATCACTCGCAAAAGAAGAAGAAGATGCCATGGATGTTGATCTGAAAACACAAATTGTGTGGTAATTATAAGATGAGGAAATAGAAAGAAAATGAAAGAGAAATGTTTATGCGAATTAATAATGCTCTACTCCACTTGTCAATAAAATTATTGGGATAAAGAAAAGAAAAAAGTGAATCAATCACATGGCCCTTTTCTTTAAGCAGACGACTTGACTTCATAAACACTGTCGTCCTACTTGAAACATTTTTTTGAATAGTATTTATTGAAATATACTGACTCTCTAACTCGTCTCTATCCTATCTCGCTCGCCTTTTAATTTTCCTTTCTCACTCTCCTCTTTTCCTATGTGTTTGTATTTTAAAATGTATCTAGTATCAAAGATACATGTATCTGACTAAATATTTGAAGGAGCATCTGATTTGAAATCTGGTACGAAATTATTAATTAATGAGACAATAGATAATCAGTTCAAACTACAGAATGTATTAATATTTATAATAGAGATGTTTGTGTGATTAGGTAGTTTTTCCTACTATTTTTGATGAGTTGTTATCTTCAATCACAATGAATGGATGAAGTCAAGTCGTGTTGGAGGAAATTACCTTTTTTTTCTTTACACCTTTATTTGCTTGGACTTTTAGTGGTTCATTGTGTGCCTAATATTGCATTGGAGTTTCCAAGATATTTCCTACATTTTATAGCATTTGACTAGTTATTTATCTTCAATACAATGAAGTCTATTCTTCATCATGTTTTGTCATTCACAAAGAAATTTCTATGATATTATCTTACAATTTCAAATAAACAAGGCCTGTAATTTGTTAGGTATAGGTTTATTTTATGCCATTTTATTTAGATTATTTTTATAAATTCAATCCATTTTCAATTGAGAAATAATATTTAATCCAAAGGTGAGTTCTAATGGATATCAATACAGCGATATTTCAGGTTCATGACCCATCATAGGCAATAACCAATAGATGATTTAGTTCCTCTTGCCAAATTTTGATGAAAACAGTTTTATGGTTTACCCTGATTTTCTTATCTTATTTGAAATTTATGTTTCTCTAGAAGAAAAATAAAAGTATTACCATAAATGCTTTAACTTTTCCTGAAAGGAAAATATAATTTTCTTCCATATTTGGTTTATTCTTTCCTTAGAGGAAAAGTTTGGAGATCTATAAATTGAAAATCTATATTCTCATAATAATATAAAAAACATAGCATTCACAATGTAGTCGTTTAAGAGTCTTATTTATGAGGAGATTTTCTCCTAAACATATTTATATTTTTTTAATATTAGTTTTCAATATGTAGGTTGCTTGACCAAACAATATTAATAATATGTCTTTAGTATGTTTTTATTTGTCATCTGATTTATCAACCATTTGCAATTGTAAGCTTTCGCATGACACCCTAATCACTTTCGAACCAAACAAAGAGTTACTCAATACGAATAAAATAATCGAGATAATAACGTCCACTATCATAAAATTTGAAAAAGAAAAGAAAAGAAAAAAGATATAAAAAAAATTACTGAACGAAGACTTTGAAAAATCGAGATGATAATACCAAGTTCCTGATGTCTTCTATAAACTTACTACTAGCATCCAAATAACATTCAGTACGTAGCTTTTTCAAAGATCACCATTGTATTATGTCACACATCACTCCTTCAAATATCAAGTTAGATGTACGTTAATACGAAACAGACAATACACTCCTATCATTACTAGTCTTTTTGTTGAATTGCTCTAAACTCACTGCTCTGAACTTAACTTAATCCGCCTTCTGGATTAACTCCGCTTCATAGGCTGTTTCTACCATGAATATGAATGGAGATTATGCTTCATCCGTAGAATATTTGAGCTCTACATCTTGCAAAATTTTTGAAGATGGGGTCTACTCCAAATGAATTGAATTATTGCTATGGGCCCACAGTAATATGAATACAAAGGACAGCTCAAAATATAAGTGGAAGAAGCTGCAAAGAAAGACTTCTACCTTAGAAAATATCCCCATTGAATCAAATTATTGTGAGTTTGTTATACTCGGTATTCTGTATCCGCAAAGATGTCTGACTTAATTCAGATTCGTGTCGAGAGGTCTCACATTGAGGATAAAACACTTTCTAACAAGGACTAGTCAATAATCAAGGCACAAGCCCAAAATATTTAATTAAGAATGAAGGAATAATTATGACTCTACCATAATCATTATTATTATTATTCGATTTCTCATTTAATATTTGTAATTAACGAATAATTCTTTTTATTTATGGTTTTGGACTCACCGCAAGAAAAAATGGACCATATCCCTGCCTTTGATGGATTGTTATTTGGAAAAAATTGTAATTAACTAATTTCTCTGTTTCAATTTATATGATTCACTTTCCTTTTTAGTCAATCCCAAAAAGAATGACAGAAAAACAAATGATATACGATCCTATCAATAGTTGCTCGACCACTTGAGCTATATTGGTTCCAAGAGAGATGTCACATCACTTGTATTAAAACGGGAGTTATATAAATATCTGTAGGTTCAAGAAGATTGGATTAATGTATACCCCAATTTCTTTTGCGAATCTATTTCTCAAGCCAAAAATCTAGTTGTTTTGTAACAAACGGAGAAATTTCACCTCTGGATGGAAATAGAAAATACTCAGTCCGTTTCAATTTGTTTGTTTTATTTTTTTATTTTTTAATCCGCTTAAAAAAGAACTTATCTTTCCTTTTATTTAAGGAAAAATGACGAGGGAAACTTGAGAGTATTTGAAAGCTTTCAAGAGTTCTTCTAGGATCGTATCGCCATGCTTTAGCCTTTGATCAACTTAAAGGTGATTATTCTCCTCCTTGTCAAAAGTTCGTACAAGTAACTCGTAATTGTTTTACGAGTATCTTCACCTCCCAGTAGTCAACTAGTACATTTACATTGAATATTACTCATCCGTAGTAGTAGGAAATTTCTTCACGCCTTCCACACATTTATATTTGATTGTGACATGGATTAAAGTGCTGACAATTGTGCATGAACTTGACGAATTCCAACAAAAAAGTTTTGATACCATAATTTTTTTATAGTTTTTGAATATCTAAATTTTTATTTTAAATATATCAAATTAATGTATTTAATTTAACTTTAAAAATTAATTAAATTAACTCTCGAAAAGCTGACAACTAAAAAGAAATAAAGGAAGTATGAGGAGCTGCGAGCTAGGGGAGGGCTCCACTTAGGAGGAAGGCGTGAGAGCCATGTGCCTTACAAGGTGTGACCTCACACGTACCTTCCTTTTTACATTGTTAACCGCGTTAAAAATTTTGGGGTAAGGTGTGGGGATCATGTGCCTTTACCCCTTTGCTTTTTAATATTTTTTTGTTGTCATTTTGGAATTTCGGCCAAAAAATAAACTTACCCTTTAGGCTCTGGACTACAAAATGGACAGCTAAAAGTACAAGTGGATGAAGCTTCAAAAGAAAAAAGAGTCCCAAATGAGAAGAAACAAAATTTTAAGAGAAGTTAAATGGAATTATTTATTGTCATGGGCGGAGCCACTTTAGGTGAAGGGTGGTTTGGTACACACACATCACTAGAAAATTATGTGGTATATCGAGATTAAATATTACTCTATTATTATAAGTGTATATTTAATTTTTTACACCCTTAACATAACTAAGAAAAATATTTGCACACCTTTCGCTAAACTCCTAACTCCGCCACGGAATTTATTGTTCCACAAGTACAAACACCAACCTCCCTTTATCTTCTCTGCCAAAAATTGATTGAAATTTGACTTTAATTTCACAGTATGCAGACGACTTTGACTTTAAAAACTTTACTTGAATGGAAGATGTAATTATTGCTATTTTTTCAAAAACTTTTTGTGTCTAGCGTAATTTTTTACCATACATTCTAAAAGGCCACCAAAAGATGTGGTGGAGTGGATGGGGCTGCTCCTCACTTAACCAGAGATTTTGGGTTCGAATCCTAGATATGAAAAAATTCTTAGTAGGGAGCGACACTAGATAAAAAACAAAAAACAAAATAAAAAATACACATTCTAAGATATTTCAGCTCCACAAATCCGATGGGGTTTTAACCATACATTTATTAATTAACAAGACACTATTTAATTTATTATAAAGTGAATTAGTATTTATGGTAGAAACTATGAATTATAAAGTAAATTAGACTTGACTTCGCAATGAATTGATGAAGTCAAGTCATGTTGTTGGTGACATAAAAATTACCCTTGTTTTTTCTTTGCACCTTTATTTGCTTGTACTTTTAGTGGTTCATTGTGTGCATATTGCATTAAAGTTTCCAAGAAATTTCCTACTTACTTCTACCAATGTACATATTTATTAAAATATGCTTTTTTGACCGGTTATTTATCTTCAATACAATACTACTCTCTTTGTTTGGTCGGTCACCAAGAAATTGCTTGGACATTACCTTACCGTTTCAAATAAACAAGGCCCACAACTTGTTAGGTAGAGTTTCAATTTTTAGTGGTCCATTGTGTGGATATACATTAGAGTTTCTAAGAAATTTCCTACATTTATTGCTTTTGACTGGTTGTTTATATTCAATGCAATGAAGTCTAGTCATCATGTTTTGTCGGTCACAAAGAAATTGCTAGGATATTATCTTACCTTTTCAAATTAACAAGCCTCATAATTTGTTGAGAAAAATTATATGTTTCATTGAATTTAGCTTATTTTATTAATTCAATCTATTTTCAACTGAGAAATAATTTCTTGATCCAAAAGTGAGTTCTAATGGATATCAATAAAGTCGAAATGATATTTCAGATTCAAATTTTATCAGAGGCAATAACCAATAGGTGATTTAGTTTATTTTGCCAAATTTTTTATGAAAAGAGTTACTCAAGTAACAATACCAAAAAAATTACTATCAGCATATTCCAAATAACATTTAAGTAGCTTTTGCATTTTTGCAAAGATCACTTAGTTTCTGAACCTAACACCAATGTACTATGTCATACATCACTCCTTCGTATATCAAGTCAGATATTTGTTAATAAGAAACATATATCTAAAATAAGTAACAAACAATACACTCCTATCACTACTATATCCTTCTGAATCAACTCCGATTCATAAGCTGCTTCTACCCTGAATATCAATGGAGATTATGCTTCTTGAGTAGGATATTTGAGCTCTTACATCTTGCAAAAATTTGGAAGAC